TGGCCCGATCAGGTGATGGCTCCGGGTGTCGAGCTGTAGAATCGGCCCGATCAGGTGATGGCTCTCGAGGTGGGGGTGCTCATCATCCGTCCCATCAAAAAACTGCTTACTAGCTTGCCACCAATTAGTGGCAAGCTCAGACTCTGTGGGTGTCAGCCTCTGTAATGGATAGTTGGCCACCTAACAATATAAAAGCTCAAACAAAGTTAAACTTGTACTAGAAATCAACTTGTTTATATGGTATTATTTGTGTGTTAACTTATATCATTCATCGTCGTATATGTGAGTAACTCTTCCCAATCCAACATGCGGATCCTCTTCCAGGTAATATCCCTAGGAATATCATTTGATCTATTTATCGCATATGTCCGCATGCTAGGGAAAGCCTCAAATATCCAAATCTACAAACAATATAATACACAAACTTTAGTAATTGTTAAATAATTAATTATAATTTTGGAAACATTATAATATAGAAATTCTTACCTTAAAGGCCCAAGTAAAGCCTGTCAAAGTGTATTTAGAACCGTCGCCCCGCAAACTTTTTCGGTCCTCAAAGACAGATAACAACTTCTTCCAGGTAGCTTTCCATAGATATGAACCCTACGGAAACAGGTTCCATGCATTTAGGTCTTCTACCAATAATATTAGGTCCTCAGAGATTGGTTGTCTGCCCTCTTTGCCTAAAAAGATGGCATGCAAAAGTAATAAATGTCATACTCGGACAACATCAAGGTCATCCATCCGAGTAAAACCATCTTTATCAAATAATATCTTCAAGTCGTCGACGTGTATACTCGGCTTTGACTTTGTCAGCTTAGGAAAAACCCGATATAACCATGATGGGCGGGCGATATGACTAGTGTACCGACCTAAATCATCGTGTCCGAAGCGTAGACCAGTGATTAAGCAAAACTCCTCCCGCCCAAAACAAGTATACGCCGGTGCTGGAGGAAAATGAAACCATATCTCCTCATCACCACGTTGTACCCCCTCGGGTAGATCGTTAGTCATGGTCTAAAGAAACAAATGTGTCAACATAGCATCTCCACCCGTATGTTGCGCTTTCAGCCATGGCCCGAAGCAAGTATCCTCAAACAATTTTCTTTGTAGAGGTGTAAGCATCGACGCAATTTTAGTTGCTAGGCTTAATTTATTCCTTAAGGTCAATGCAGCCAAAAAAAAATTCTACAAAAAAAATAAACATACTAAGTTAGATATACCAAAAACTACAAATTATACACTATAAACATACATGATATTAAACAGTGAAAACAAAGCCAAATATGTTTCAAACTAGCACGGTATTCACCCAAGTCATTATTCCATCATAGTTCACAAAATGCATCAGATAACATTCCAGAAGTAAGCACTTATATAAACATTTAAAAGGACAACATATAGGTTTAGTGCAGGTTCAAGGACAACATAAAGAGTAGTAGTTTATTCTTGAAACTTAAATTAGCAACACTGTGAAGTTAGTATTTGTCTTTGTTTTTTTGTTGAAGTAATGCAATTCATTCAAGTTTCAATTAGCAGAATAAAAGAAGTTTCTGAAACTTAAATTCGCAACGGGAAAATGAAAATCGCAACGCGATTTTAGTTTCGCGTTGCGATTTTCACTTTTGCGTTGCGATTTTGGTGTTGCGATTTAGGGTTTCTTCAACAAAAAGACAAAACAAAGACAAATATTAACTTCACAAGGTTAAAGACTAAATAGTTTAGCAGTATTGGCAGCAACCGAATGAATTTAGCAATCTTAGTGAAATGGTTAATTTATAATAATACAAAAATTTTAAAATAAAAATAAGAGATTAAAAAAACTAACCCTCGGTGATTGATTTTCCATTTCTGACCGTGAATGGTTGTGAGGGTTGCTCTGAGAGATGGAGATAGACGGATTTCGTCAGAAATTGGGACGGATTTCGTCGGAAATGGGGATGGATTTCGTCGGAGATGGGGACAGATGTCGCCGTAGAGAGTGAGAGATGGAGATGGGACTGAGTTGTGCTTTAGGGTTTTAGGTTAGAGATGATTTGCGATAACACTGTTTACATTTGTGTTGTGAAATTAATATTGTGTTTCGCGTAAAAACATTTGACTTTCGCGTTGCGAATTTGACTTCTGTGTTGCGATTTACAAATTCGCAACGCGAATTTGACTTTCGCGTTGCGAAATTGAAAACTGGGTTGCGAAATTAGAATTCGCGTTGCGAATTTATTGGTCATTTTGACAAATTTAAAAAAAAGTTGGTTAAATTCGTATATTATAAGGCATTTTTTGTCACTGAGGTTATTTTCTCTTTAACTAATTACTTTCCTGTTGAAGTTTGGACTCTCAGATATCTTCTACGTTTCTGCTGTTTCCAAAAATCCAAGTTCGGCAATTTGTTTCAAACCTTATTAGATGTTTTCTGTTATTTCACGAGATTGAGATGGAGGTGGATGAGATTGGGAAAATTGTGCGTTTGTACCCCATATTACTTGGTTCACACAGGTTGAAGAAAGCTAATAGTTTACTCAGTGACTTAAATGTTGGAAAAAATAGTCTTTGTAAATACATCCAAGAGAACCCTCAAGAATTGAGTAAATGGGGTGTTGGATCATGAGTTGAGCAATTACCAAACTCAGGAGAGGATATGGAGTCACAAAGGTTGAAGATGAAGTTCATTTTAGACTTGGGATGTGGAGGAAAACTCTGATATGATGCAGAAAGCATTCAAGGTGTTTCAGGCAGGGGAAGGGAGCTCCAAGAGAGATTTGATTCCATCGTGAATGCCGGTTTGGATAAAGCAGCCGTGTCTGAAATGGGAGTGTATCCCCTCAAATCCTGAATCAATCAAAAGCTGTTATCCGAATCTAAGATTGATGTTCTAGTAAATGAGCTTGGTTACCCTTTATCCTCTTTAGTAACATTCCCCTCTTTTCTTTCCTATACAACACGGCGGGTTCGGCTTAGATTGGCAATGTATAACTGGCTCAAAGATCATAAAAAGGCAGACCCGACTTGGCCTTGAGCACTATTGTTGCATGTTCAGACTAAATATTCATGAATCAATATGTAAATCATCATCCCAGCGGCCCTTTAGTTTGGCAGGATTTAAAAGCAAAATTTAACATGGATGAATGATGCTATCTGCCTATTTATTGCACATTTTTGGGTTGTATCTTGGAATTTGTCACCACAATTTACGGATGATATACTTGGTTATGTTTCGTCTACAAAGTTAAAACTTGACCTTCCCTGCATTCATACATAGTAAAGAGGAGCCAGTTTTCTTCAACTACCATAAGACTATATGACCAGAGTTTCTTTGCATCAGATAATGAAGTTAAAGGTTTGGATTCTGGTTCCTATTTTATGGTTTTTTTTTAGATTCTACAATATAGACATCCATCCACATGCATTTCTTAGTGTAACCATTGACTTCAAAGTGAGGCCATCATGATACAACTCCTACGGTCGTACCAGCTGTAACTACTTATTTCAGTCTATATGCCTTTAAGATGAAAATTTATGTGAACTTTGTGTAGGACAAGCAAACTTGTGGTGCACATTAGAATTTGGACTATCAGTGTATTGTTGGGAATGATAAACCAGTAGTGCTGGATTACAAGTGCATGGCATCTTAGTACGAACCTCCCATTAGCTATCGGCACTACCGTGCCGGAATCAGAAAGACAAGACTGGCTAGGTAGTTATCTCGAAACTTTGTATCGATCAACCCCCGGAGCAGAACAGAGTGAGCTATGAAGAGCAGCTGATTAATTGCAGATAACATTTATCTTTAGTTGATTGTATTTATGTTTTCTCCACCAGATTTATCCGATAACTAACATAGAGTTTTGTTAACTGCAGATAACAATTATTATATTACTTTCTTTTTTTAATTATAAAATATGAAATGTTTTGGTAGTTTGCTTTACGGGCTTCAATAAGGTAACAATGTCCATTGTTGGAACTTGAGAAAATAAAACATAACTTCTCCAGCCCAAGTCTAATCCTTTTTTCATCCTCGATAATCAAAATGACACTTAATTTATTTTACTATTTTAGTAATAAATTAAAAAAAGGCTTCTTCATCTTTTGTAATGAATTACGAAAAAGAAAACCATTCAACTACAAAGAAAGACCCATTTCATCAGATACAGACATTTTTTATTTATCATTCCATGTGAAGAATTTTATTTTGGAAATTTCCAATGACGATTATAACCTAATTACAAACAATAAATTACGGTATAAAAAAGATAAGAGATTTTAGGTTATGTCAGAATTACCCGTCCAGCTCAGTTGATAGATCGCAACACTCTTAATATTGTGATCGTGGGATCGAGTCCCATGGTGGGCAATTCATAATTCTGACTGTAAGAGGTCTTCTACGAAAGTTGCTCACAACCTTACGTTAGGAACAACCTACTACCTTACCTCCCCTCACCCTATTACACATAAAAATAGGTCAGCTAATTTGGATTTTAGGTCATGTCAACAGATACTTTCCCCTACACTTACACTTGATTTGAATGAGCTGAAATGAATAAATAAGGATCCATTTTTCAAAATACAATAAATAAATAAATAAAGCCAATGTTTATTCGACGCGCCTTTATGTAATGTTTTAGCTTTGAAATTCACTCATGCTTGTATGGCTGAAATCAAGTCTCTCAGCACACAACACTACAATCTGTATCCAGCTATATGAAAAACAAAAAGAAAAATCTTAAAGTATCCTGTGTACAAAACAGACCCTGGCTATACTGAGGTTATGCCACGATCACCATACACGTGGCAGTCAACATTACCAGGGTCGATGTAGATTAATGATGATGATCTGAAAGAGTAGACAAATTGTTGTTGACAGTGGGGACTCAAGCAATGTCTGTTAACCTTTCTCTACTTTAGTTTTTACTTACCCTACAATATACTTTTTCTAACTCAAATACTAGAACTAGAACAACCCTTCTCGGACACCAAAGAGAAATAAAAAACCAATCTTCTTAACAGGTTCTCTCTTTCCCAACCTTGCATTCTGTGCTCCATGGCTTCAAACTCTGTTAAAATGGTTTCCATTTAACTTGCACCATATTATCTGATCTGGGTTTTCTTTATTTCTCATTCGGATCATATTTTTTTTCAAGAAAAAAGCTTTCTTTTCTTCTTTTGTTTGCTTCACTAACCTTTGAAAGAAACAAAGGCCCGGCCTTTCTTTTTCCCTTGCGGTTTTGGTAACTTCTTGGACTGGTATAATGAGATTCTGAAAAATGGGATTTTGTTTCAAGGAAGCAGGATATTGGTGTATGTTTCAAGATCAGCTTCATTTTCCTTGTTTCTTTCTATATTGATGGTGATAGAGTTGTTTATAGAAAGAAGAGGAAAAGCTAGGTATGTAAATGTTCCTTTCATGTTGTATTGATTTATCATTTACGAGAAGTTAATGCTATGTTTGGCGATGAAGAGATACATGTTTCTTTTGAGTCATAGATTTTATATCTTTTAGTATATCAGATATGAAAAACTTTTACTTTTCTGAACCTTGGATCAATATGTTGAAGATGATATGAGTTTATATTGGGAAGCAAATAACATGAAACTTTTGAAGTTACGGATTTTGTATGGACTGGGGAGATTTTCTCTGTTCTATATCTTTTAGTATATCAGATATGAAAAACTTTTACTTTTCTGAACCTTGGATCAATGAAGATGATATGAGCTTATATTGGAAAGCAAATAACATGAAACTTTTGAAGTTACGGATTTTGTATGGACTGGGGAGATTTTCTCTGTTCTTTCTTGGTTGCTCAAACTTGAAGATTGTATGGCTTGTGATTGTTTGGTTTTGGAATCTGTTTTCTTGTGAACTTTTTAGATTAAATTCAGGTTGAAATTAGATTGATTTGCCCTGAATCCTTTATTCCATTTACTCTATTTGTATACAATGATTTATCTCTTTAAGAAATGCATTTCTTATTAATTAAATAGGGGGAAACCAGCTGTTGGCTGAGCCCAAAGAAGAGTTTCAGTTTTGGTTTAGGTGGATTTACAAGGTTCCTTAGGAGACTGAACATACAATACATATACATATACGTATATATATATATATGTGTGTGTGTGTGTGTTTGTATTTATATATATATGGTGTTTCTTTTGTTGGATTTTTCTGATTGAAAGGCAGAAAGGGGGTGAATGTTTTTGTTGGAATAATGGAATGACTGCATGAATGTTTTAAGGCCTTGCATTTCTATTCGATTTATGTATGTCAACTGATGATATGCTCAATTATATTTGATGTCACTGGTTGAAGTCTGCTCTTTGTATTTTCATACTTAATTTGTTACTTAATGTTCTATTTTTTGCACTGAATCCATCTTTTTGTTTTTGCAGAAACCTTCTTCAGTGGTCTGAAATTGTTGTTTAAGTGGTTCTTTTACAATGAGAAGAGGTAGAGCAAAAGCAAAGAAGCAGAATGTTGTTTCTTCTCTCGATGACCCAGGAAGCGGTGAAGATGAAAAAATTCCGGCTTATAAGAGAAGAGGAAGGCCGCAAAAGCAAACGAGGGATGATATCGATGAAGATGAAGTGGAGAAGGCTGAAGAAGACGGTGAAGATATAAAAGGTTCGGTTCCTACCAAAGAGATGAAAAATCTGGCCGCCACGGAGAACGGGAGGAAGAGGAAAAGTTCTGTTCAAGCAAAAGAAAACATAGACTCGATCAAGAAAGGGAACGGCGTTACAACAAAGTCGAGCACTGATGATTTAACTAAAACGGCTGGATACCGGCAAAACAGTAGCAGGCGCAAAAACAAGCCTCGACGGGCTGCTGAAGCTGTTGTCGAGTGCAAGTGAGGTTACCAAGTTATGCTTGTCTACGCATTGTATGGATTCAGATGTTTCTTTTTGTCGCACGTTATTTGTTTTTGCAGTTTCTGTATTCCATTTCAGTAGCTTTTAATTTTGGTTGCATGTTATTTTGACAAGTAATATTCCATGGTTTCATTGCTGGTGAATTTTACCATGATAAATCTTGTTATCCACTTGATAATTTCCTCAGATTGATTCAACTCGGTAAACTAAAAGAATTTGAATTATTAATCAATAATTAATTACATAAGAGTTCATTAATATGTTTTAATTAAAATTAAAGCATTTGAGCTAAACTCTGACTCTCACTTCGTCTTCTCCAGTATCATCAAAAAGGTATTTTTTTTTTCTCCTTAATTGGCACTATTTGTTCCTTTAGGTTATCGTTGTCAATCTATTGGAATGTGTATTTGAATCAGCTGCATAGTCTAGGGTTCTCTTTTCACAAACCTAATCTAATCCTCTGGTTCGCTTGATTTGATCTATTCCTTTGTTGTCCTCTTTTCTTCCTTACTATATATGCTGCGATGGGATTTAAGCGATAATTAAGTTAGCATTTTGAAAAATTATTTTACTTATTTTCGATTGTTGGCAACGTAGGCATTGCTGGTTCGCAGCTGCGAAATAGTTTCAATTGCTCCTGGAAATTCTTTTTTCTTTTTTACATTAAAATGAAAAATCATTGAAAAATCATTAAAACGAAATAGTCCCCTTTTTGGCTGTTTTACTTTTAGAGCAAGGATGTTTGATTTGAATAAAAATGCATTATCATTTATCAAAACCATGGTATAGATGACAGTTTCCGAGCCTATTGAATCTAGGATGCTTGTTGATTAATGCTTTCATGATATTCTTTGTTCATGAGAGGAACTAGCATCAGGAAAATACTCGGTTCTTAATATTCTAGTTCAATGCATTTGCACTACACTTCTTATTAGTCAAAATACGTGTGTGTGTTTTTTATAGCCAATGTTGCTTTATTGTCTAAAGGCTCTACTTGCATCACAAGTATATAAAGTGAGATGAGCATGGCCCCACGAAAAATATATTCACAGATTGAAATCGTGTTCCCAAGGATGAACCGCAAGCTCCCTTGGGCGAATCGCGTCTTATTGATTAAGGGAGCATTTTGGAAGTTGGATCAAAGCTTAAGCCAGGCAAATATATATTTGGGTAAACCATACATTTAGGGTCCGTTTGTTCACGTAAAACGTTTTTCGGAAAATATTTTTTCTCATTTTCCAATGTTTGGGTTGAGTAAAACTGATTGGTCGATGTAAAACATTTTTCTGGTCAACAGAATTTCCCTTGTGTTTTTTGGAAAATGACTTACGATCTGATTTTTATATATACACGTGGCACAAACCCATTGCCCCTTCCAAATTCTTGGACCACTTCGTGACTATCCTCAATTTTAAGCTCTCCAGTTAACCACTCTGAAGAGAAACAGAGAGGACCAGCTGCAACAGAAGCTAGTAGATAATTCTTTCAATTCTCCAATGGCTGGAATTTCTACTACTTGTTACTTTTCCCTTTCTTCTACATGGTAAAGGTGCCTGTTTAGCCCGTGCTTTTGAAGTTCTATACTTTTTTGGTGAGATTCATGACGATCAGAAGCAAGTTTTAAGTTGAAATCGCTTCATTTCGAAGTCTAATTTGTGAGTTTGGCGTTTGGTTTCTGAGAAAATCAGAATGCTCGAAATATATATATATATAACATGGTAGATCCTCCGAGTTTCCATATGTGGAATTACGTGCATTCTCCCCAATCTTACATTTTTCTGTATAATTTGTTTGGAACTGTATAACATGAAAGACCATGAAGTTTTGTAGTTTGTTCAATGCCGTTTGATTTGCAGTATGCATGAACCTTTTGTTGGTATATTTGTTGTATTGAATTGGGACTTTTTTCCAGCAATTCAGGGAGAACCTTGTTGGAAATTAAAACCCACCATGGAAGAACCATCTCAGGGACACCTATCCGGAAAGAACTCTGAAGTATTAGAGCAGAAGTGAATTTTGTAAATGCTGAAGAAGCAAAAAAACTTGAAGCAGTTGAGGGTTATGCAGTTGTTGATATCCGTGATAAATCTCAGTTCGATCGTGCTCATATTGAATCATGTTATCACGTGCCTCTTTTCATTGAAAACAAAGACAATGATCCTGGTGAAACATTCTATCTTTATTCCATCTAAATTCAGCTCAAATTTTAAGTACCATATAATTGTGTAGAGGGACTTCACTCATTTCTATTTGAGTTGTTCTGTTTGTGCAGGCACAATAATAAAGAGGACCCTGCACAATAATTTTGCAGGCTTATTCTTTGGGTTGCCATTTACAAAACTCAACCCTGAATTTTTACAAACTGTGAAAAGTCAGTTTTCGCCCGAAAGTAAATTGCTTGTATGCCAGGAGGGGCTGAGGTTAGTTTTAAGCAACCTTTGGACATTTGACCAATGTTTTTCATTTAGTTTATACAGTATTTGGTACACTTAAAGCCAAAATTAATCTGAACAGCTTATAATATGTTGAATTTGATGTTTCCTCAGAGACGATATTGTTGAAAGTCTATCTGATTCGTATGATCAACTCATCATCAACTTGACAAACAGTAATGTCACCAGTCTAGTATTCGATGACATTACAGATGTTGTTCTACAAGAAGAAAATCGGCGCTAGAACAAGGAAGACAGACAAGTAAATATGCAACAAGCAGAAGCGTTGATAACGATATGAGGGAGATCAATAGAACGTGGCCAAAGCAGCAGTCACAAACATGGTAGACCGAAGTCGAGAAGCAAGAAGAATTTAAAGTGCTACAACTGTGAAAAGAAGGGTCACTTGAAGAAGGATTGTTGGAGTCTAAATAAAAACTCCAATCCACAAGGCAATACTGTAAACACTTCAGATGATGGAGATGCTCTATGCTGTGAAGCGTCAACCACCGTGGAAGGTAGAAAGAGATATGCATATATATTGCTCATTGATTCGGAAGCAACATATCACATGACCTCAAGAAGAGAATGGTTCCATCATTATGAACCTGTCTCAGGAGGATCTGTGTATAGTTGCAATGATCATGCCTTAGAGATCATTGGCGTGGGAACCATCAAATTGAAGATGTATGATGAAACAATTAAAGTTGTTCGAGATGTGCGGCACGTGAAAGGCCTGAAGAAAAATTTATTATCCTATGGATTGTTGGATAATAATGCAAGCAAAATTGAAACACGGAAAGGAATCATGAAGGTGTTCCGTGGAGCACTTGTAGTGATGAAAGGCAAAAAGATAGCAACAAAATTGTACATGCTGAAGGGAGAGACTTTGCAAGAAGCAGAAGCCTTTGTTGCCTCATGTAGTTCAGATTCTGCAATGCTATGGCATCAGATACTTGGACACGTGTCAGAACAAGGAATGAAAGTCGTTGTGGAGCAAAAGCTACTTCCAGGCTTAACAAAGGTATCATTTACTTTGTGTGAGTATTACATAACAAGTAAGCAGCACCGGTTGAAATTCAACACGTCAAATTCTAAAGGCAAAAGTGTTCTAGAATTGGTTCACTCTGACGTATGGCAAGCACCAGTTACATCCCTAGGTGGAGCAAAATATTTTGTCTCATTTATTGATGACTACTCCAGGAGATGTTGGGTGTACCCTATTAAGAAGAACTCAGACGTGTTTTCCACTTCAAAAACTTCAAAGCGCGGGTGGAACTTGATTCTGGAAATAAGATCAAGTGTTTCAAAACAGATAATGGGGGAGAATATACAAGTGAAGAATTTGCTGACTTTTGCAGGAAAGAAGACATCAAAAGACAGTTCACAGTGGCGAACACTTCTCAACAAAATGGAGTGGCAGAGCGGATAAACAAAACCTTGTTAGAGAGAACAAGAGCAATGTTGAGGGATGCAGGCCTAGAAAAAATCATTATGGGCAGAAGCAGTCAATACCGCCTGTTATTTGGTGAATCGAGCTCCATCAACTGCAATAAAGCTGAAGAGGCCAATGGAGATGTGGACTGGTAAACCAACTGATTATTCAAACCTCCATGTATTTGGAAGTATTGTGTACGTAATGTACAAATCCCAAGAAATCTCAAAGCTGGATCCAAAATCCAGGAAATGAAAATTCTTGGGGTATGCTGATGGAGTCAAGGGGTATCGCTTGTGGGATCCCACTGCCCGCAAAGTGATCATCAGTAGGGATGTTATCTTTGTAGAAGATAAACTACAAAGAAAAGAAGATGATGATAGCGCTGAAAAGTCAGAGACTACACAGATATATGTGGAAAAGGAGGTTGAACAAGGAGATTCTTCAGAAGCAGAACCAGCACATGATGAACAAGAACCAGAGAGTTCTGAAGCTCCAACAACTCGTCAATCAGATCGTGTGAGAAGACGTCCCAATTGGCACTCAGATTATGTTCAAAAAAGGTTTTGTTCTTCATTTCAAATTCCCTAGCCAGGTGTGCCTTCAATTCTTCAATATAATCTTTATCGGGTGCTGCAACCAACATGTCATTCACATACAACAGCAATATAACAAAATCGTTATCACCAGACCTCTTGAAATAAACACAAGGGTATGAATTAAGTCTGTTGTATCCAAGGCATATAATGAAGGAATCAAATCTCTTATACCAACACCTCGGCACTCTCTTTAGACTGTACATAGATTTGTTCAACCTGCAAACCAAGTTCTTCTTTTCTTTTTCTTCAAAACCTTCAAGCTGGAGCATGTAAATCTCTTCCTCAAGATTTCCATGAAGAAAAACTGTTTTAACATCTAGCTGCTCTAGATGTAAATTCAATGTAGCACACATTGCCAAGACTACTCGAATTGTTATTAGTCGAACCACATGAGAAAATATTTCATTGAAATCAATACCTTCTTTTTGAGCATATCCTTTGACCACCAGTCTTGCACGAGACCTCTCAACTTGATCGTCACCATTTCGCTTGATTTTGAAGAACCATTTGTTACCAATTGGCTTCCTTCCTTGTGGTAGTGGTACAAGGTCACATGTATTATTTTTATGAAGGGATTCGATTTCTTCTTGCATCGCCATCATCCATAATGAAGTATATGAGCTGTTTATTGCCTCCTGGTATGTTGATGGCTCACCGTCCTC